ACACCTCTAGCAGGCTTTACTTACGCCAAATTCAAGGGTTGCAGGAAAAAACTGTGGGGTTTTTGTTTTGTTTGTTTTTTCTGTTGTTGATTTTGGATTGGGTTTTCATTTGTTTGGGGTTTTTTTTGCTTCTCAATGCATACAGCCAAAATATTTAACAGTCAATACTAACTGCAAATAAAATAAAATAGGTTCTCCTCCACACTGTGGAGGTGTCTGGAGCTAATCCAGTATACCTACAGGAAAGCATGTTCATCCACCATTGTTCCTGGTAACAAAGCCTGTATTGCCTTTAGACCCTTAGGTGTTTTAAGTAAACTTGCAATTCATGGAAAGACCAGAGCCTGAATCCATTTGCTGCCAGACATTAACTATAGCCACCTTAAAATAGACATAGCTAGGTCTAATCTTGGAACTGTGTGCTATAATCCCCATTATATACAGTTTTGTATGCAGAAGGTCTGAAAACAATGTGTATGCCACAGCTTTGTTCCTTGACTGAAAGGTTAACTGACCTTTGCAAGAGCCAGCCTGATTTTCTGGGGTAGCTGTGCCTTTTCCAAAAATACTATGCGACCTTTTATTTTTTTTCCAACTCACTCGGGATGTTCACATAAATGAACATATGGTGGGTAACATGCTTAGGGACATTAATGAATAAATGCTGTATGTCCAGAGATAAAAATGAGATTCAGATAAGACTGATTAAAAGAGTTTAAAAGAGCAGAATTTACTGTGCAACCTGTGGCAGTATTATGGACACATCAACAAAAGCTTAAGAAATACTTCTGGGGCTCTTCAGTGCAGAGGGATGCACTCATTTTTTCAAAGTGTGTATAAATAACCTCTACCATAGAAACACAGCCATTACAGCTATTACCTTCCATAGTTTCCATACTCACATCCTGAGATTTAAAAAGAAAAAAATAAATTACAAACCCCAAACCTATTGTCAGCTCACAACAAGTCAGCTTTTTTTGCCCTTACAAATATTAAGTAGTACCTTACTCCACAAATATTCCCATTTGAGTCAATGGGACAAATTGCTGAGTAAGGTTCTTCTTCTAATTTAAGAATTGCTTTGCAAATTTGTCCAAAATTACAGACTCCATTCCCATGGGGTGCAATTATGTATAAAGAAGAGGGATCTTTTTTGCTTCTTTAAACAAAAGAGATATACCAAAATCATAATGCACCGTCGACTGATACCAGTAAGACATGGTTTGAAAGAGCTGTGGTCACTCTGTATTTGCAGTAGCTACAAAATATTAATTTGGTGTAAATAGCAAAACACTATCATGTCAGAGAAATGATGCAACACAGCAATTTATGTTGTTTCTGTTCCAAAACACGACCTACGTACCTTCTTTAAAGTGATAACCTTTAGCTAATATGATACATTCGAAACGTATTTGGTACAAATGCCTTGCATTTTGCAAAATATCTCATCTCATCTGATTTAGAAAAGGAAGAAACAAACAAAAAAAAAGAAGATATCCTTAAAGGATACTAAATGAAAATTTGAAATAAATAAATATGTAATGGAAAAAATAAGCTTTATATGATATTGAAAAGTACATGTTATATGAGCTGCAGTGATATTATATGCTATAATTACGATTGCAAACTTGCTTGCCTGTAGCATGTAGCATGCGGAGTCTATGTTTACAACATTCAATGCTTTCTGTCAATTAAGAAGAAGCTCCTGGCTATCTAAAGAAGCAGGGCGGCAAATTAGCTGACAAAAGGCATGTATCTCTGGCAGACTGTACTGAAGTGCAAAGGACTGCCAGTTGCTGGAATCCCATGAGCGGAGTGAGCATCAGCCTTTGCACGTAGCACAATGGGGCTGCGTGCGCAAACCTTTCTACTGAGATATAAGGATGTCCATTCATTACAGTGCGTTTTGCTGCATTTGTCATTGTAGTGGACTGGAACTATTGAAAATAGGATAAATAAGTACAGTTTGGGAAGTTTTATTTTGGGATCACAGTAAATAAGAAGGGGAAATTTTTATTGCATAGCACACTGGCTTTTTTCCTAGGTGAAATCATACAGATCACAAGCATCTTATATTGTGCCTGTTTGTTTTATAAGTCTTCTATTTTTCAAAAGTGCCTGTCAGAATGCAAATACAACAGTGCCCAAACTGTGATTTCCTGACTACTTGTGGCCATTAGACCATAGCCAGGGAACTGCAGCTGGTCCGCAGAACTCTATTGCCTTCTAATTAAAAGCTTGATAACAAGAGTGCTTGGTGACCCCAAGAGACTTGGGTGCTGACAAAATCCCATTCATCCAAACAGTTTAGGAAACTCTTCTGTAATACAAAATAATATCAACACTTAGACTTATTTTTTATATGTACTAGTAGGGATAATATGATACCATGTACCTCTACTCTAATTCGCTTTGCAAATTGTATTTTAATACTGTACAATGAGACTCCAAATACAAGTTTATTCATATTATTCATAGGAATAAGTGAAATAAATATGTATCCAGAACTAGATTTATCAAAAATACTTTCTCATTCCTATGCTTTAGGAATATATACAATTGTTGGGCTGAAAGAAATCCATTTTGGTCCATTCCTTCCTCTGAGTTAACAGTTGTCAATGTTTTTCTTTCCCTCCATTATTTGCCTTGTTTTTATCTTTAAACAAACAAACAAACAAAAATCTCTAGCTGCTTCCCTTTATGACCTTTGTTATTTATTTGGCACTTAGTCAAATAAACTTGCCAAATCATTTTGTTCTCATTTTGCCTTGGCTAACATTCAATGCCCTGTCTCTCATTTCTGCCGCTAGTTCAAATAGTTTTAGACCGTTATTTATCTCTCCTCTGTGCAGAGCTTGGTGCACACCAGTGACATTCCCCCTTACTCTTTTCCCTTACAAAGATGACAGACCCAGTTTATTTAAAGTTTTTATTAGATCTTTCAGTCTCTTTATCTTTTGCTGAGCTCTGCTCCACCTTTTCTATTATGAGCTTTAGATAATAAAGACCAGACTGTGTTGCTCTTCCTTGTGTTCAACGTATATTTCACCAGGAGTGATCACACTGCAGTCAACAGAGATTGCTTATGGAGTAAGGTACTACTCAATTCAAGATTCACAATCTGCCTTGGAGTGATCAGGCCTATACACAATATTCCAAGTTCAGAGAGGTAATTTCCTCTACTTTCAAGTACATCTCTACTTACGTGGCTTATAATGTTATTATTTAGCTTTTGCTTCTGATTAGTTTTATTTGAAAATAGATATTTTTAACCCACCCGTAGCATGCTGGTTTATATTTAGTCCCATTGATGACTCAGTCCCATATGTCGAGCTTCTTAATGTTACAAATGAAGCTAGACTTAGTGCTAATCTCATTTTAGTAACCACCTCACGTCCCCTTACCTCCACATTGGTATAATAGGGAGCGGTGGTCCTGCTCCCATTGCAGTCAACTTTGAGACTTCATATAAATTCCATACAAAGGACGACAGGTCTAGCAATTGTGCCTACAAATGCCCTATTTTACTTTTTTTAGCACATGTTTTTTATTTACTCTTTTCCAATCAATTAGTGTCTCTTTGTTCATGAGATTATTAAAAATTGCAAAAAGTTTCTCTGCGTCCTTTGATGTCTTCTATAACTCTAGGACAGGCCCTGATAATATCAGCATTCTTAATACAATCGAATTTCTTGGAACCCTGATTTCCCTCAGTATTTTTTTGTGCACATATGACTGATTTTGATATCCCTAGTATGTTCTGATATTCATTAAATTTTCTCCTACAAGCAAGAACAGAAGCATATTCTTTTTTCAGTCATACCTATTATTTTACTGTAAGTCAGACAGAGTAGTTACAATTTTTTATACTTTTTTTAATTTACTCCAAAACCTTATCAGAAGTAGGACAAAACACCATACAGATTTTGTCTATTCTTGCTTCTCATATTTTTACACTTATGTAATTGCCTTTGTATTTTACAGCAAAAATTCTATTATTCTATTGAGTTCCTTCTGTGTTTCAAATTAATTCTTAATTATTCAGCCACTTAGAACCACTTTTCCTTATTTTGTAATTATTACTAAATGGCATGCGTAGCCATAGGGTTAAATGTGTTTATCTTGGACCACTCCTCATTCCAACCTATTCTCCATGTTTCTCCTGACAATTTTCTTCCATTTCACTCCACTGCCCACCTTGTGAGACCTTTCAAAAATATGAGGACAATCTCCCGTCTCTACATCAAGACAACCAAGCCTTATGTATTTCTCAAAACTATACCGAGAAAGGCCCTCTTGCTTTTAAATACAGTAGAAGTAAATATTTGATCATACTAATCATAAGGATACTGCTCATTTGACTCCTTCCAAATCAAGCATATGTAAATAACTATGCATGTGAGTACACAAGGAAATAAGTTCTGAAGAGTTCTCTCTTCTCTCTCCTCTTTTTGATTTTGTATTGGTTAGCCATGGATGCTTTATACCATGGAGCAGCATAACACACTCAGCCATTAGGGAATAAACAGATCACCAGAAGCACACATTTTGATGTGTATTTCGAAGGAACACATTCCAGCTTTCTGCGTAAAAAGAGTGCATAGCAGTTTTGTTGGCTGGGACCTGTGGGGCACATGGGGTTCAGAACGTCTGCTCTTGGCAGCATTTGCAAACTACCACCTCTTACACAATGTGCATAAATTGCTCTGCTAGCCTGCCCCAAGCACTCCCTGCCTAGACCTCTTCCATCCTTCTCACCTTGCAGGGCACCAACTTTGAGTTTAGCTCCATTCACTCTAACCCTGCATGCCAGTGCATTTTTATTTTTTAAAAGTTACGTGTGTTAACTGACCTATCCCCCCCAAACCTTAGGTTATTCTTTCTAGTGCACTGTGGTGTATCAAATGCTGGTAACAACAAGGGCATGAAAACATATAATATCTTCCAATTAGATCTCAAAGGTTATTTTTTAAAGCACAAAAGTTTTTAGAAAAGAAGTGTCAGCTTCCATTGGTTATTATAACGGATGTCCCCTTGTGTCCTTGTGCTGGATCTTGCTGCATCCTTAAGTGAGAAGTCACATCAAAGTGTGATCCATTACAGCCTAGTGAATAGTTTCTAATGGTTTCGGTGTCATATAGATGCTCCAGGGCATACCCAGTTAATGTGTAAGCATGCTTATCAAAGTACTGCCTGTGGGAGCTGTAATAATTTGGAGAGGCTGCTGGGTGGTCCCCTGGGGTTTGATGGGGGGACATATCTGAATGCAGGTAGTCTTTAGCTAGTACCAAGCTGGATTTTGATATTCGGTCAGAATTGGGGCTGCTTATCCTAGACAGTGTTGTGGGGCTGTTGTCATAGTCATTTTCATGTGGGCTCATAATCTTTCCATCTCGTTGCTGGATGTGTTCACAGGGAGGAGTGTTGGCAACCGTTGGGACACGGCAGACATCCCCTGCCAACTGCTGCTGAGGGTAGTTTGCAAAACAGATAGCGTGCTTCTTCCCTGTGCCATTAATGGAGACCAGTGGATCAGGAGTTGTTTTCCGCAGCTGGAGTCTGTTTTCTTCCTCTTTAATCATTTGCTGGGTGGCTCTTATTAGAGTTTCAATTTTGCTGGGCTCATGCGGACTGCTCTGATATTGCTCAGGACGGTATCGGTCGCCTGATTCACTGGCAGAGCCAGGATCAGGTGAGCTGACAACACTGTCCTCATCCCAGTGTCCTCTCCCTAGGAAAGAAAGAAAGGAGACAAGGATTGAAGTTGAAGAAGGCAAGCAATCTTGAAGAACAAGCACTCTGAACCTTATTTTACAGACAGGAAACCAAGACAGAGGCAAGTGACTCCTAACAAAGTCACAAAAAATTACCATGGCAGACTCTGCTTTTCAGTGGCAACCTCTAGTTTCCAGTGTCTGCACGTGGAACAAGTAACACAGCTGAAAATATACAATGAAAAGATCTAATCACCTCATCACAGACAACCAATGCCATCTGAGATGCTCTGGGGTAACCAAGCATCTGCACAGGCCCAGCAGATATGGTACCAACTCTACGGGAACTCTGTGTCTTCTGGAGCAGCTAACGGCCAGACAGCGTACCGTAGGGCATGTCGAAGTGCCCTTGACACCAATGTTCAGGCCCCTGACCCCTCACTACCTCTTTGCATCAACAAAGTCTGAGTGAATTGGGACCATGGAGAAAACAAAAATCTCAAGGAATTACAAGTGTACATGACACCAGTGTGTCTTCTTAGCCCTTTTCAGGAGCTAAAATATAGAGAAAGAAATCATTGTCAATAGTTTGTGGCCCCATGCTGACTTTATGCAGGTTACACAACAATAAATAAACAGAAGTAATGAAGCAGTTATTCTTCTTTAGAAGCATAAAACCCCATACCTGTTAGACTGGGTTACTGGGAAAATGTGATGTCATATCCCAACACAAAAATATTTGGTGTATAAAACTTTTAGAATAGGAAAATATAATTATTCTTACCTCTCTTTAAAAAATAAGGCCTATAGGCATACCAGAGGTGTTCAGCTTGCACGTAGCCAAAAAGACAGAATCAGACCTGTCAATCCTCACTAGGAGGAAAGTGAGTGGCCGCCACACCTGAACAGCCAACTAAGGCCACAGTATGATAAAGAGCTTAATAAAAGATTTGCTGAGATATGTGCCTGCAGGAGGGCATGTGTTTGACTCGCACAAATTATTTAATGATGGCTTTGCCTCAGCACATACAAAGTCTTCTTTGGGGATGAGGCCCATTGGGTTGGCTGACAGGACTCCTGAAAGGAAACCCATTTTCAGACTAGCATGAGTAGTTCCCCCTGCTTTGTGTTGGGTCGAGGCGTACAGATCTGTTAGGGTGGTAGATCACTACCGCTGCATTGCAGAGTTCATTAAAAATCAGTGACGGGCTTTTGAAACAAACATATCCTGCCCTTTGTACGTGGAAGTATCTCACGAGCACGATTTTATCCTTCACATCCTCTTAAGCTCTGGGCCCAAAATGGGCCTGGAGGTAGAAGGGAGCTCCAGCCACCAGAGCACGCGTTATGTCAGGCACACCATGACACACGTTGAGGAGCTGGTCAGCCACAGCTCTAAACCACGTGCTCAGCTTGCCTCAGTGCACAGATCATACCAACAGTGCTCCAGACTTCCTGAGGGTGACCAGAAATGCATGGGCTCACACACAATATCCAGGGCCTGCCTTACTGGCCAGCTCATTGTCATTACTGTAAGGTGACCCTGAGACAGAACTACCAGAAGATGCATTAAAAGAACAGAAAGGGAAGAAAATGTTTTCTGCCCAAAGAAACTGCTCTGACAGCAACATTCACATAGCATTGTCAAAAAGAGTTTCAATTTTGAAAGGCCAAGGTTTGAAACTGCCTTAATCTAAATTAAAATAGCATGTTTGCAAGGGACACTGAGATGTTCCTCTCCTCAACTGAGACCAGTATGTTTTACGCCCAAAGTTACATGCAGGCTGAAGGCCCGCTGAAACATGTAAGACTAGATACAATAAAGAAAATAACTGCAGCACCTGGAACAAAAACAAGGACCAAACTAAAATCTAATTATATCATCCATTTGCATTGATTTTCCTTGATAAAACTATGGAATAAACATTTAACAATTTTGCATTTGTACCTCTGTATGATATTTCTACATTACTATCTTTCTATGCTTAGTAAGAATTATCATGCATAAAACTTGCCAGCAAAATTATCATATTCTGCTCAATCCTCTTTTTTTTTTTTTTTTAAAGAAAAAGCTAGAGAAACACAAGTATGACAGAAGTACAGAACAGACACAAGGAAGGAGTTGTGTTCTCACAGGAAAAGTAGCGAGCAGTACTCATGAGCAAAATTTAGGCATCCTTTCCTTTCCTTATTTTTCCTTTGACTGCATTTCCTAGAACTTGATATTTCATTATTCTTCTGTTCTCAACATAATTTTCCTCAGATTGGAGTAAAATAATGCAGGTTTTTTTATTATTTCCAAAGCCTCATTCTTCAAATCAATGGAATGGTACTAATATAACTAGCTTTTATGTGTTCTTCCAATACAATCTATGTTTTGACAGATCATTTTAGCATTTTTTTTTATGCTGCATCTATCCTTACAGCCTTAAACCTTGATTTTTGGTCAGTTGCAGTCTTTCAAATCTCAGCCTACACTTCAAGCTCAAGGACCTTTGGTTTTTTCCAAATCCAAGATCAACCTTTCACTGTGAATTTTTGATCAGCTTCAGCCTCTTAAGACGTGCTATTGCACTGAGGTTGCAACCTGCCAGACACCAAGCAAGGCTTCAGGCTTGGTGCTGAAAGGATGGAGAGACTCAAATTGACTAAAAATTACAGCTGGGGATAAATGTCTAAAACCAAAAGCAAATGTTCATTTGAATTGACAATTTTAAATAAAAGTAAACAGCAAAGCTTATAGAATCAAGTACTAACCAGTGCAGAGAAAAGAAGTCATTTGGAGAACAATTTCTCCAAAGACTTTAAAGGTTTTCTTAATATCCAGCTCGGGTTTAGTTTTAACTAATTTTGTGCTGAATATATTCCATCCAAAGTAGTGTGATATTAAGCCAAATAAAGAAAACAGTTCTATCAAGTGTATAAATTTGTTCATATTTTTGAGATCATCCTTAAGATCTCACCAGTCAGATATGCCGACCTTAGTTTCATAAACTAAAAAAAAAAAAAAAAATACAATAAATTATGTTTTTCTGCATGTAAGCCAGACTGTCAGACTTGAATTGAACTGTATGTATTCCTCATCTCCACAGACGTGATCTCTGAGACAAGGACATGCATCAAAACTCTCTCTCATTTTCTGTCTCTCACATCAACAGCTGCATGTTTATGTCATGTTGCTTTATCAGAGATGCTGCCACTTCTGCAAATCCTTGTTATCTCTTACCATGAATCCTATGCACTGAAGTTATGTGGGGCATACTGTTTTCATACGCTTCTCTGCTCTCAGGGGACGACTTAGTCAGGGGCAATGCTGAACGAGAACCCCACCAGCTCTCCCTTCCCGGCTGCGGCGTGCCAAGGAAATACCGGCCAGCTTCACATCTGCCTCCTTCACAGGCCTGAGTATGGAAATGTCTATCATCGGTCAGCCTGGAGTGGTCGAGCGTAAAACCGTAGCAGAGAGCACTGCGGTCCGAGTACTGTCTGTAGGCACAGGAGACATCGTGGTGCTGGGAGCTCGGTCTGTCCGTGGGCTCCAGTAGCTGGGGAGAAGCCGTATCGGTCAGGGGGCTCCCGCCCCACTGGCTCTCGTGGTCAGACTCGGATCTCTCGGTGTGAAATCCAGAATACTGCAAAATAGGAGAAGCAGCAGGGAAATTACTACGCCTGGGTGAAATCTGCAAATACCTGCACTGAAAAGACAGAGTATGAATGCAATAGGGTGGGTTTTGTGAGCATGCCCAGACATCTTCACCTTCTGACTTGACTCCTGGGCCTTCCCTGTACAATACTCTGTAATGAGCTCACAGATGACAGCACAGACCTCATGAAAGTCTAAAACATCCCATGTCGACCCTTAATAGTCATCTCCTTTACAATGTGTGCAACAATCAATGTTGCAATTAATATTTTTTTAATATCTCCAGGTTTTTCTTACTGCTTTGAAAGCTAGTGCTTGTGCTCAGCAATGGTGCTCCAACACTCCTCAGCAAAACACTTTCAAAAGGGACTGAAATAACACCGCTCTTGGAGCATTCTCGCACATCAAATTGGAGCTGAATGTATTTCAAGTTGTTAAAGTTCTTTTTCTAAGGGTTCCCTCTTTTTTCCTCATATTTTGTTTGTTGCTGGATTTTTTTTCTTACCTGGAGTGGTATCTTGGAACTTCTTTCCTCCTGTTAGTAGGGAAAAGAAAGCCTCCTATAGATTCTTGGACTACCAAAACCACTACAGAGTAGAGCTCCGAAGTGATGGCAGCAAAGCTAAAAATCACAGCTCTGTTGCAATGTGGGAAAAAGGAAAATCCAGAAACTATTTGCCAGAAAAGGTGACTGCTAGCCAAAGCAGGCAGAGCGGGTATTTGGCTCCCCCGGTTAAGCAGGGCTCTCCCAACAGAGAAGAAGCAACTAGCAAGCAGTTGGAAAAGCAGACAGAATAAGAGCATGGGCATTTGTTTAGAAAGAAGTAAGGGTTAAGATAAATGTCACAGGTTTCTATATATTCATCATGAACATTTTGAAATTTTAGATACTTTTTAGGAAAAAAAAAAAAAAGAATGCTCTTTAAACCTCCTCGGATTTAGCTGTCTCATTTTTAAATCTTTCTATTTATTGGAACTGTCAAATTTCATGGAACATCTTTAAATCAGTTTCATCCGTGACTATGGACTGGGATGAGACCAAAGCTTTACATGCTCACCTCTTCAGTACTGCACGCTCATGTCACAAATCAACGTATTACAACATGAAAACTTGGAATTCTCCCATTCCATCGCTCACCTTCCAGATGCCCACTCTGCCTTTTCTTTTAATAGGCATTAGGTCTCTCTCCTGAAAACATAAGCTTACCTTCCTTTTCATTAGATTGAGTTGCTATGAAACTCCTCATTATCAGCCAGAATCAAGGTTTTATGCACTTACGAATCGAAAGTACTGACCAGATGTTTGACTTACAGAAACTTAAACCATCTGTGCAACATCAGTAGTGGAACTACTTCAGCTTTGGCATTTAATTGGGTATTTCTTCAGTATTCCAGTTTATGTTTGTGAATACTGTTTGTTAACATGATAAGTTATTTAAAGGAAAGAAAGAAAGGGTCACGGCTTTGAGGAGCTTGATTGTATTTTGTTATTAGTTGTCAGAAGAATACCCATAGGCAAAAAGCCTACCAGTAGATATAGAAGAGTTCAGCAAATTAGTATCATATTCATGACAAGGTTTTAGAGATGAAAGCATAAATCTGATTTTGCATGGAGGTAAGAGTTACAGAGCCACAAAAGAGTTCTTTTAAATGCCATTAATTTGGCATACATTAACTAGGAACTTTATTCAGCCATCACAATGTTATGTGACCAACTGGAACATCTCACTCTTCTATTATCCTTTCAGACCTAATGTCTTCCAACTGCTTAGTCACAAATGTATCTTCAGAAATACTGACTGAATCATTGTAAACTTTTCAACAAAAAGTTATAGATAAAATTGTTTCTAATGAAGAAACTAGAAATTATTAACAAGAGTTTTACTATTAAATCTTAGTTAAAATGGAAATTCACAAAACAAAAACTACTTTTGTACCTGTTCTGTTTTAGAATTATTTTTAGTGTTCTTTGTGGATTTGATTTTTATAAACTAGATTTTTTAATTTAAAAAGTTTTGCTGCAATATAAGGTAATATAAGAATAAATGTAAGCATTAAAAAGTTAAAAGATTCTTTATTTTCTTATTCAAAAAAACCCCAAAACTCATGGTCTGCATTCATTTCATAAGGAGGAAAAGGAAAAATTATTTCTAATAATATTATAATGAAATTTCATTTTTGGGACAATTTATGATGATAATAAATGCTAGAAATTCTTTCAAAGTGAAAATTCTTAATTTCATTTAGCTCTAAAAGATATTGTTCTATTAGGTCTCTGTTTCTAAGGACCCCTCAGGGTCCAATATATCTTTGCTTGAAGAGAATCTCTCCATTTAACTGAAAACTTGCTCTTTTTTTTTTTTTTTTTAATCTCGAATCTAACCACAAAGGTTTCAATTGCACAGGCCTTTGTGCACTTTTCTTAAAGAAAGGGAAAACATTTCAAAGGGTGCGTGTTCAGTATATCAGAAATGCATCACGTAATGTCATATGACTGAGCAGTCAAGACCAATGATACTTTGTATTCTTTGTACTTGATGTAAATAACAATTATTTGAGATCTGACCCATAGCAGCTGCTAGGCCACGGACAGAATTAAATTAACACTGTGAATTGCTTGTTGCCCATATTATCTACCAAGGTTTGATATGACTGCTTATTCTTAAGGTACAACATAAGCAGACATAGGCCAAAAATATGTCCAATTCCCTTTAAAGCTAATCACATCTCTGTTTGGCATCGCCAGGCTGCTTCTACCACTGCAGCCTTACCACTGCCACTTCTGGGAATCTGATGTTGACAGGTGGAGACTCCAAATACGGGCATGTGTGACATGTTGACAGGGGGAGAAATGAAAGGATGATCAAAGATACTGCTTTACTGAAATGGGAGTGGAAACACTATCTCTCAAGTCAGAATTAGGCTCCCGTATGTCAAGTGATGAAAGACCATAGAAAACGGAATGAGAATTAATGAAAATTGAGGCCAATTAAAATTAGTGAAAATATTTTTTTTCAATCCCAGTCCTGCCTGACCAGAAATATTTTCCTTTCTGCTAATATTTACCTTCTGACTCCTATCAGGCAGAATTTATTATTTTTGGTTGTTTGACAAAGTTTAACCAGCAGACAGAAGTTAAACATGATAAAGATCTTCAGACAGGCAACATCTGAAATCTCTTCAGGTTATTTCTGAATTGTCTTCTGCCATAAACAACAACAATAAATAAATTAAATGGTCCTCCAGCTGGCTCCTGGAAACTGAATTGCCACCTCCAGATACTAGAAATGTCTTCCAGAGTGCTAATCCAGTGTACCATCGCAGTGAAAGCACACCAGTGGGATTAGCGCCGTCATAGAAAGGGGCTATAGGCCATCAGTGATGCCATTTTCACTCCAAGAAAAACTTCAGGAGGGCTGAAGGGACAAGGAAAAAGGAAAATATAAATTCCATGTGTACGAAAAGCTTATTTTATGAGAGACTATGGGAGTGTATTAGTCCAGTACACAATTTAATATTTCTCGGGTGATTTTCTTTGGCCTGACCTTCCATTCCTACAGGTGTCTCACTGGCCTGAGCACTCATCCTGTCATATGCAGCAACATCAGCCTGCTCCACACAGTGCACCAGATGTTCAAACAATAGATGTTATAGATATCTAATTTTCTGGCAGCCTACTCAGGTTTTTATCATTATAAACATTAAATATATAGTGAAACCCTCTCAGAGTCCTCTTTTCCATGAAAAACTTTCACTACAACAGCATTAGCAGCTTTCCTCTTGATTTGTGTCTTAACCATGAGAAAAAACATCACAGATGCAGGCTGCATTGTACTAAGAACATATGCATGCTTTTAAATCACTTTTATCTTACTTTTTGCTAATGTAATCCTGAAATGTAAAATATGTTCTTTTTGCATTCACTATTATAGGCAGAACAGATGGTGAAAGGCTTAGATTAAAGTAATACAGCATGTCCATTAAAATAACCCCCACTGCTGGTGACTCTTCACCGGATCAGGAGTTATGTTTACTATAAAAAGAGGGGTTTGCTTTGCTTTTGAATACATTGGAAGTTGCCAAAGCTTTAGGCTACAGGAAGAAATGAAAGAAGAAACAAATCCAAAAAAAAGGCTGACTAGAATTCATCCTGATTCTATTATCTTTACCCGAATGGGTGATATGCTGAAATAGAGGTGGATTGCAGAATTAATCCAGGTTATGTTTAAAGGAGCTATAAAATCAATTTACCATCAAAATCAGGTGTATTAACACACATCTACTAGAGATGGCTCTTACTTCCAAAAATTCATGCATGCATACACCAAAGCCTCCGTCCAACAGCTCTTGGGTACATCCTTACTTGTATGCGTGCATTCTTTTTATTTATATATAATCTTTATCCAAGAACTAAGATGAGTTATGAAGCAATAAACGTTTATCCAGATCTGACCATAAAACATTTCCATTAGAGGCAGACAACAGACAATTTTAAATATTTTCTTTAAACAATCATTATTAATGGGAGATTAAACTCCAAAGCAGTTGTTCAGATGATCATAATTAAAATATTTTTTCAATCTTGTTGTTATTTCCTGTGTACAGAATAAATGAGGTCCAGGGCTAGCTTTTGGGAATACAAAATAAACGAGGTCCAGGACACGATTTTGGGAGCCCCTCACAATGGTTATTATTATGGGGCAATCCTACAGGCATCTTTTAATCAACTCACAATTTCCTTTCTCTGCAAATCTTCATCACTCCTGTTTTTTCACCTCCTCCTTCAGCTCTCCACCTCTCTGGTAGGACAGGACTAGAAGAGCACTGTCCAAAGTGTCTGCGCAAATTCTACAGCCATGGCATGAATTTTGGGTTGCTCTCCTCTCCGCTTGCCCTTTCCCTGTCTGGAGCTGGTTTTGCAGAGCCCACTAACCCGCTATACTAACATCAGTCAGTGCTAATCAGATGCTGACCAATGCCTCCAATTTAATTAACTCAGTTTTTGCTTAAAGAGTCTACAAGTGCCATATTACACTATGCCCACTTGTGCATAAAAGTTGAGGAAAAACACTTTAACACTGTCTTAAGTGACCAAAATATCCACCTTGTGCCCTAGTAGTAAACATTCAGCTGAAATTTATTAACTTGTTTTTCACACAGTTCACATCTCATGTAGCTCTCCTAGGGGCACACAGCTGGCAAGGGAGAGGATTCCCAGTCATCACCCAATAAAGCGTATGATTCCCTTTTGTCTTCAAGAGTGAAGCAAAGTAAACGGATATGGGAAAAGGAAAAAAAAAAATGAAAAAAAAAAAGAAAGAAAGGATGTTTAACATCTCCTAAGTGCCCTAAACTTTAAAAAATTCTTTGCCCACTGCCATTATAAACTTCCTGCTTCCTTCCTACACTGAAACTCAGGCTCCTGTGTAAGCCAAAACGCACAGCCTCACTTTTCAGCCATGGCTTTTGAGTCACACTCTAATTCTCTGCAACTGACTGGCAAATTACATGGGCTGGAGACTGAGGGACACAGGCCATACCACCTGCTGCATGTTCTTCACAACAGCTTTTCTTAGTCTTTCAACAGTTTATTCAGTGGTGGAGAAGGATGAGAGGGCTGCAAAGCCAAGCTGCCAGCGTTGCTCGTGGTGATGTGCTACAATGAACGGTATGACCATTTTTCAAGATATTGGCAACCAGCATGGCTGCTTCTTTTTGAATGACGAAATCTGTGACTTTACTACAAGGCAGCTGGTAATGAGGATGCAAAGCGAAACTGGAGACTAAATACCCTGAGCTTTCAGACAACAATCCCTGATAAACCAACACTCTCAACACTGCGCTGCTAGCTCAGGAGTTTTTCTGGTGGCAGAGAGAATAAGGAGGTACTGATGAAAGTCACACTTTCAGAAAGCAGATTGAAGTGGGAGGATAACAGGTCTTCAGTTGGGATTGTCCTGCTAGCAAAGGAGGACTTCTGAAAGAACTGTGTAAGCAGAGATGAAGGGTAATTTCAGTAAATCAAAGACAGTCATCTTAAAAATCTAATTTAGAATTAATTGTAGGTAACTTTCCCGATTCTTTAAAGCAGTTTTATTACAGTTATTTGGTGTAATGCATTCAAGAGAAAGGCTCTTCTTTAAAAACCCACAGAAATGCGTATGAACCAATGATTAAACAACAAGAGCCATAACAACCTCTGGCAAAATTAGGTTCTTAAAATTAAGAATCTGAGTTCGTATCTAGGTGCTCAGTTAAATAGTCCCTGTGCCAAAAGCAGATGTCATTTAGCTGAAATTCTTACCCTTGCTACTTTTGAGGGGAAAACGAAAGAAAACAAGATGTAGACACTTGGGCTTACATTGTACCCTCTTAGAGAGGGTACCCTGCAGAGAAACTGTAGTCATCAAGGTCGTTATCAGTTAAATATTGACCTGTACTCTTTAAAAACACATAGCTCTTCAATGGTACATCATGAATGCATGCGTTTATATCCACTGTGCGGTGGCATACGGGCAGTAAGACTTGCAGCATTATTTAGTAAACATAATGGTTATTTCGACAAACAGATTTATTTGAGCTAAAGGGCTGACAATATAAGTATGCAAGTGCTGTGGCATTGTCTGCAGAAATGTGTTAGGTAAGCTCCAGTTCAGAGACCAAATCAAGTCTGGTCTATTCTCCAAGCGGAGACATGCTCCTTATGCATTAGGCCTGAAAACGAAATCCGGGAAATTAAAGTCTACTGGCCACTGGCCACCTCCTAGCACTTTCTCCTTTCAGAGCTTTGTACATAGAAAAGCTTTCGTGTTCCAGTTCAGCAAGTTAACTTGTTTCTTTCCCTCCTCAAAACTCAGTCCTCCTGACTAAGATTTCAATATTAAACTGCTGTCAAACATCTGGCAGCTTTCTAGTTATGTTGGAATTATTAAAGAGTAAGTAAGAAAAAGCAAGTTTTCTCAAATGGCAAAACTCACAATCTTCTCAAACTAAGTATTTCAAAACCAACATTTTCACTTGTCCTTCTGTCCACTCCTCATTAACTCTGAGCACTATGCTGTTATTGTTGTTGATGATGATTTATTATGCATGCCGAAGCATAAATGTTTCCAGCTTTTTAGAAACAGTTTAAAGAAACATATTCCTGTCTCAAGATGTTATAACCTGTCGTCCTTTATTCCCTTTGAGTAACATGGCCTTTGGCCCATTCTAATTACTTGGGTAAAATAGCAGTCAAAATCAAGATATGCAAAAAGAGTTTTTCTAAGACAACTACCTGTGGGTATGGTGATGTCCTTGATTTTGACTTTGTGCTCGAGAGGCGAGATTTGCTTCCCTTTCTATTATCCGTTATGGTCGGAGTTGAATTTGCGTATGAGAATGCCGGCTTGGTAGCAGTGACCTGATCCAAGGAGAGCTGTAGTCCTTTATATTCAGTATCCCTATACGAAAGGCAAAAGTGAAAAATAAACTCACTTCATATCTTAATGGGAAACATTCTTGCCTTCTTAGTAGGGGGTGGAAATGAAAAATATTTTTAAGGAAAAAAGAATAAAACCATCCAGGGCAAGCCAGTATATCCCTCTAATGCATTTAAGTAGTATAGCTTACTAAACAATAGCACTATTTTTAAACCGAAAATATGATTGCTTTTTGCATCCAACTGTTATCGTCCTGATCTACTTTCTTCAGTAATAAAAAACAATGGGATGGAAATTTCTGAGATTTGTATTATAGCTCTGCATTGGTCACATAGCTAAGCAGTAAATAGGATACATTTTCCCCAAAACTCTTTTAACTGTACAACTACAAACTTACCGTGTGTGTATATGTGTGTGTGTTCATGCATGTGTGTGGGTGCACACAACAGTGTACATAGATGACTAAATAAATTGAACACATAATTTTTTTAAATGGAAAACACTTAATCTTTAAGGTTATATTTTTCATTGTTTACAAGGTTTCAGGCAATTGGTGCAAATTTTTGAATTTTTCTTCTTCTATGAGTTTCTTATACTGAAAAAGTTTACCAGTCAGGGAAAACAACTAAATAAATACAAATCTTGTGATTTAAATGGTCTGTCCCCCACTTGCAAAATACTAGAGGTTTTCTATGGGGAGCTAGATATAGCGACAATTTGGGAAGTTCAGTGTTGGTTTCTTCAAACTTTCTAATGAATACATAAAAGTAAGGAGAGCTGGCATTATTCACAATGTCTTACTGAACATAACGAGGGCATATGCATTGGTCTGCACCCCTTTCCACACATCTGCATGTCTGCTGGTACCCGGGGGAGTAAGAAATGAACTCTCCAGCTTTCATGTAGTCATACGGAACCTATTCTGACAATGATTTATTAAAAGAGAGCGAAGCAAGAGTTTCTTCCTGACCTACCTACCTGGAGGAAAAGAGGAAGGATTCATGGCTTTTCTCTTCCTTTGTGTTAATCGGCAGAGAAGTAGGAGAGCACGGGAAGAATAATTCTTCTGTTATGCAGTTAAGGAAGCAATATATTCATTCATACATTACCCCATACTCCATCTAAACCTAAAGACTCATCCTTAAAGAATTATACTAATAAAAAGTTGTTCACTCTGCTTTAGCAAAAATATCTTGCTCTATAATCCTACATACTTTGATGTAAGTCATGACAGGCGAACAGTTTTTAGAAATGAACTGCACCACAACCTGAGCATATCACAGCTCAGTATACTGAAATGCTTTCAGATAAATGTTGGGGACAGAATGATAAACTTGATAAATCACTGAAATAAATGAAATAGGATGAATCTTTGAACAGCCACAGATAAACCTGCAGAACAGACAAATTAATTCATGACAGTTCTACACTAAAATTTTTTTGCACCTGATAAACAACAAACTTGTTGAAGAGGCTTAGTTTTTTTGGTAATGCAGACAATGTATATGTATCCATGTATATATAACACATGAAAACGAATCACTGACAATAGAACTGTGCTGATTCCAATGTTCCCAGTCCGTAGCAGACAGAGATTGACCAAGTATAATTAATGTTTTGTAATGTGAATTTACTTCTTAATGAGGTCATTTTTTCAAATTTTGACTTTAATAAAGATAGGCCTCTGCTATAATATTTGCATTTCAAATATCCTGCCTGCAGTGAAAGCATCTGAATATAGGGATTTACTTTGGCCTATTTGACAGGTAAGACTCATCCACATATTTTGAAACCATTAATCTCTCCGTGGTTATCCTCAGAATTTCCGTCCAGACACCTTGACTTGATATGCAAAGCATCTGTCTCCATAATTGAGTCCTACCAAATTATCTTCATGTTATACAAAACATCAGAAAGAAAGGATGTCAATTAATGTTCATATTTAACTGCTACAGTAGTGTATTATTAATAGTCCTGAAAAAACTATCAGTCTCGTCCTGATATACACGTTCCTCCTCATTACCTGATTATAACAAACGGAAGGGTGCTGTGGTCTCAGTGTCAGATACAGAAAGTGTTTCCTCCGGAAATGAAAACTAATCAAAACTAAGTAGATAAGTTGTTCACAGCTTTAGGGATACGAGGAGGTTCTGTTTCAGTTTTGAACCTACCAACCCTTTTACCTCCCTTTTTGCTGGACAACCCATATCTCTGCACTACTGCCATTACCTCCCCATCTCTGATGTATGCCACCCTGTAACACTCTGCTGCTTTCTCATGTCAGTGGAAGAGTTTTAAAAAATTGGATAAAAGACCACTCCAGTATTCAGACCGCAGACTGTCACTCCAACACTACTTGCCCACTGTTAAGATCTGTGCAAGGGCCAAGCATTCAAATCATAGAGACTACGCTGTACAACACTTCTAGGTCATGGGAGTCTAAAAAAAACCAGGCAAACCAGGATGCCCAAAACCTTGCATGCCATTATGTGTTACTTTGCTAAGTCATTGGTATCGTTATGGTGAGGAGTCAACCCCCCAAGAGCACCACACATTAGAGTAAACACCACAAGCTGGTATCTGCAGACAGTTGCTTGGACAGTAACATCATTAACAAAGGGCACAAAGAAAACTATCTGAAGTTCTTGCTGCCGAATGCAAACCTTCCCCTTAGAGAAAGAGCACATCTGCACTCCCCTTGAAGATGAAACACCTGGATGTTTTTGCGTCACTGAGGTATGATTCAATACCATCTCAACCCTATCCTAGCACAGCTACCCTTCAGAAGAGCCAAGATAGACACCAGAACACCAATAGTAACAGGCCAAGATTAATTCCAGGAGGTTTTTTTTAAAAAAAAAATAAAAGCATTGAAAACATGGAGGAAGGGTCCTGTGGTCTCAATGTCAGATGGAGACGGTGTTCCACCAAGAAATGAAAACCTTTGAGTATATCCATATGCACCATGAGGCAAAGGACTAGAGGAACCAGAGCTCCTAGTGGTACACAAGCTACAGATGGAAATTCTGACAACTTCCTGGAGGAATTTATAAAACTTCCGCCAACCATGGAACTGTAATCTCCAGATTCCTGTTCTCAGACACCTGAATCCTCTATTACACAGTCCCAGCAACACAGTAGCACTGCATCTTGTGTTCTACATGTAATTCAAAAAAAGGTGGTGGATACGAGCCTCTTCCTCCAAGGTCCTCACCTTCAGGATCCCACAGGGATTCATACAATCTACATCTATCTACATGAGACTGCTGAGAGAGAGAGTGATATGGCATGTGTTCAATTGCTAACAGTATGTTGCTGACAATCTACTATTTATCTCATTTTCTGATGCAACTATCATCACTATAAAACATCAGAATAACTACAGGAAATTAGCTCTTAAATGAAGAACAGATGGATCAAACTGAATCCAGACAAGACCAAAGTGATGCTTCTTTGCAAAGGGAAACACATTGAAGACCTCCACCTTTTCATGATGGGAAACAGCCATTCTTTCCACAGTTGGATGGAAATTCTAGGTCCTCTTTGACTCCTCAAAAAACTTGGATGCATATGCTTTTGGTAGCGTATGCTTCCAAAAATGTATTATTTCTCGTCTATCTTGTCCCTCCCCCCATATGAGAATCTGGCCAGTATGGTCAATGTATCAGGCACCTACAGACTGGATTACCGTGCTTCACTGTAAGCGAAAAGAAATCAGAAGGCAACACGTAAAATCCTCTTGCTACAATATGCTGCTTCCCATTTTCTTCTCAGATCTAACTCCCAGAAGCATTTCCACTCTGTGCCATGTCTCTCGTGCTTCCAATGCCCATTATAAAGCTTGAGCCTAATTTTGAAAACACTTATTGATGTACTAGAGGTAACATCATGAAAAAACAAGGATCCATGGCTGTACCAACTGCACTTCTCTGCAATAAAGCATCTGAAAGTTGAGTACAAAGCATTCTTTAATAAAGGAATCTAGATATAGCAAGCTGCATAGTGAAGAAGGACAAAGGCTGAAGCAGAAAAGCACTTGGAAGAGGAAGCCAGTCTGTTTGTACACGACTTGGATGCCAGCTGCATCTGCAACAATTGTGTGAAGAGTTCTCACAATTCAGCTTTAGAAGGAATACACTTTCTGCCTACTGCCATTACCAAAATGTACAATATGAAACATGGTGGCAACAGTCTGCCTAATGAAAGTTTGAGGAAGAGATAATGACTCATTAGCAGACAGACCCAAAAAAGAACAGTCAGGGAGCAAAGCAAAGCACCACAAAACCGGAATTCTCGGCAAACGATAGAGCTTGCACAAATATGGAAACAGAGCGTGTGGATAGAGCTCACCACGAAACTTAAAAAAAAAAATAATGTTTTTTATATGACCTTTTGAAGGAAAAAAGATGAGGAAAGGGTGAGTCTGCATTGCTAGAAATAATGTTGGGAAGACTGGAATTAGTGACAGAGGCCCAGTCAGCACAGTATGGCCCAAGACAAACTAAAACTGTACAGACAACCAGGCTTTTTTGTAGGTGTGTTTCTTCAAGTAATAGGGTAAAGTTTGGGACTACTTTAACCAAAATCTAAAGTAAGATGAGACATTAACATTAGGGACCTAAAGACACAAAGAGTTTTGAAGATATTACAATTTCCTACTTAAAGACAGTGTTGGCTATGGAGCAGAGGAGGAGCCCTGAGGAGGAGCCCTGAGGAGGGGCCCCGAAAAATGCTTTCAAACAGAAAAAGCAGCTCAACAGGATGCATCCAGAGGAAGGAGTAAAATAATGACATCCATTAATGAAGAATAAATATCCAGATTCAACCAAAAGAACTTAAGAAGGGCAATCAGGCTCAAGAATAGAGATCTTCTATACCTACAGTATAACAGCATAACCTCCAAAACAAGAAGACCACCTTAAAAAAGAAGAAAAAATGCTCAGCCTGTGGAAAACTCTGCAAAAGCCGTAAGAAAGAGCATCTCTTTATGTTACACCACAACGTGCCAGAAAGGAGAATAA